ATATTATACCGGTACTCTATGATTAGGCCAAAAAAATTATGTTGTGTTGCCCTCCGTGACCGACCGAAATTTTGCAATAATTTGGGTCGGCATTAAACAATTTTTTTTTTTCAAATTTTGTTCAAAGGTCTTCTTTTCATCAAGTACAATTTCGAGAAATAGCGCATCCGAAATTAACAACATAAAATCTAAAACAGACATGTATTTTGACCAAATTTGGGCCACAGATGCGCACGTAAAATTGGTAAAATAGAAGGCATATTTGAGAACCGAGCGCGACGACGGTGAAGATGTATGCACGAACATCGGATCTCTCGCACTGTCAACCCACGACTTGCCACGACCTCATCTATAGTCTATTCTTTACTACTGTAACATGTACAACTAAGTGTTTGCCGGAATCAAAAATCGTATTCATTATCTTACGATATATTGGACAATATTCACACGGGTCTAGCCATCGTTTTAAAGCATGTACATACAGTAGCTATACATCTTAGGCTCCGTTTATGCCAACCATGAACGAAATATTATGTCTTATGTTTTTCTCAAAGTTTACTTCGATAGTATTACTATAGTCAGGACGCTTGCTGGTGCGGATCCAGAAATTTTGTAACGGAAGGAGGGGCCCAATAAGTGGTTCAGTGGCGGATCCAGGATTTTAAAATACAGGGGGACTAGGGATGTATTTTGACAAACCGAAAACATAAGCCGCCACAGCCCCACTGTGGTTGGGGCTGAGGTAAGACTATTTATGATTATGACACCTTTAGATGACCGGAAATGGCAATCGCAGACTTAATGTAAGTTATTTATTCTCCTTTTATCTCCCTTTTTTGAACAAAATTAAGGGAGTGGGGGAGCGGCCGGCTCAGACCCCCTTGAATCCGTCGCTGTAGTCCACACGCAAATTTAAAAAATCGACCCCTCTAGACACTCGGAAATGGCACTCTCTGTGGTAAAAATGCCTTTTCAAAGCAGTGTTCTCGTTAAAATTATTGACTTCCTCCAGACGGGAGATATGCTACAACTCCCTGAGACACCCCTCCCATCCCCCCCCCCTTCACGGGCGCCGCAAATCTCAAGAACTCTATAGTTGGAGTTGCAAGACAAATTATGGTTGTGACACTCATTCAGACTTAAACATTTATATTTTACCATGTTTTTAAAAATGACAAATGTATAGGTTCTGCCCTCGCCGGCTGGGGCACGTTCCCCCTTGTTTTTGCCACTAAATTTTAAACATTTCAATGCATATTAATGCTATGTGCCACTTATCTATTCTGAACCTGCTGTGTGCCCCAACCCCCCACCTCCCCCACCGCTTGAAAAATTCTGGATCTACCCCTGGAAATATACTGAGATTGAAAATCTTGTGCTACAAAGACCTTTAAGCTTTTAGCTTATATTTATTTATTTATTTATTTTTACTTGCCGGTACGGTTCCGACGGCCCTGTCACAAGCAACTATTATTGAAAACATTTTGATTACAGTAGAACCACTATTAAGAGGACACCTTCGGTACCAACAAAGTGTCCTCCTAATAGTAGTGTCCCCTGTGTAGGGGTTGGCCGCAGCTTAAAAAATATATACGGTAAGCGCCCTACTTCCCTCGTTTCTTTGCCTTTCTTTGCCTAAAAACTGTCTCCTTTTACCAAAGGAGGGCGTCCTACTTTATTAGAATTAATATGTATAAAACTAAAGCCTAGTCTATTTGACTGATAATTAATTTTTGATACAGTTTATTAGAATAGTAAACAAAAAATAGCAGTGTCTAATCGAATTCCTCTCTATAGATAATACTATTAAATCACATGATCCAGGTATAATTCTTACAGAATTTGAAATGTTTATTTTGCAGTATTTTGAGTATGTTATCCCCAGCGCAGTATTTATGGTTCTATTCTCAGCCATTACTCTTGTGACGTCAATCGTGCTGGTTGTTTCATTCTGCACCTGCTGCAGATCAAACATGGTAAACACAATCCCAAATCAATCGCCTCACAACTCATAGACATTCCTTTTTTCTCTTCTCTCACACACACCAGACACACACACTCACACACCACTCACAAACATACTCCCTGCACGGTACTCACCTGATACCCCTTATATCTAACTAACCCATTTATTCGATTGATGTCTGTCGATTATGTTTGTCTTTGGAAAATAATAATAAACATATAATTGAATATAATAATAATAGTAATTACCATTATTATTGTTACTATTTAAAGATGTCATCTATACAACAACAAAAAAAAACAAAAACAAAAACAATAATAATGATATGATGTTTGGTAATAAAAGCAATAAAATGTAAATATATTTATGTACACGAATAAACGTTTTCTCAAATTTACTTAGTAACAGGTAGATTACTTGAAATACTTAATAATTTAACCAAAATGACGTTGGTAAAAAACACCACACATCTGAGAAAAAATGAAAATGAACGAAAATAAACCCGAGTTTTTTCCTTCTGGACAATGGCGTATCTACAAGTCATGAAATGGGGGGGGGGGGGCGGGGCAGGGGAAGGCGCGGGTAATTTTTGGGGGAGTGCGCCCCTTCCTCCTGCTCCCCCCCCCCCGTAGATAAGCCACTGCTTCTGGACTATGTAGTTAACACATAACATAACAACGCTTATAACGATAATCTCATTTTAAAAAAATTCTAATCTTTCTTTGTTCTTTATGTTGTTTTCTTCTCTCTGTCTTGACGCTGAGTAAAAAAGCGCATAGAGACATTTTATTATCCTGTACGCTATAGAAATGGAAGACCGTACCATTTAAATAGTAATCACATGATTGTTATACAACAGATTTTATGAACGAGAACTTGAAATCGTAAAATAATACTGTAGTAAGTAATAGTTAGTGATTCAAAATTTTGCTATGATAATTCTGAGATTTGTTTTGTTGGGCAAAATTCAGTTGTGCGGTAATCGCTTTTTTCATATTTATTTTTGTCAGGATTCTGCTCCATTATAATGCTAGTGTTGGATCGTTGCTTATTCTGCTGAACCAAATGTTACGATGCATGTACTGTAGGCCTAAACATCAACGTGGACGTACATTATTGCACCTATTTTGTATTAATTCTTATTCAATTTTAGGAATTATAAGAATTATCAATCAACCAAGTCTCTTTGCTTTTGTAAAAGGTTGAATTTAAATGTGTGAGTTGAAATTCCTATCATTAGGATACAATAATGTGAAACAAGCAAACGTAGGAGGTAGGCCTACAATATCGAATCAGTAAGGCCCATTGTTGGATGTATCGGTAGTTTTTTATATGCAATATTTCAATTTTCTAACATTACTTCATATATGCTTTTGTAAAATATTTGATAAAAATGTAATTTACTGAAAGAATCCTGTTGTCTTTTAGTGTATAATGTTTTACTTCATATAACAGAAGTAGAATTATTTTTAAAGCTATGCACTTGTTGTGCCGTAAGACCGTCGTGCGACGAATCCGGTGTAGACGACGCAACGCCGTCTGCTGACCGTCAGTGTACCGTAAAAGCTAAACGTGTTTAGACATAGCTTAATGTATTTAGGATCTTGACATCATGATGTCAAATACCTAAGCACATCTAATGCTAAAACACGTCAGAAACCTAAACACATTAGGCCAGACCTAAACACGTTTAGCTTTTAAACGTGTCACCAAAAACGGGACAACATTGCGTGGAGCTTTGTATTTAAATGCTCCACGCTGATTTACAGTGTGGCATGCAGTCTGAGCGGATTAAAAACTTTCCGTTGCGTTCTTCATTGGATGGCGTCGGCAGACGCCATCCAATGTGAGTGAGTTCCCAGCTTCAAACAAAAGTTTATTAAAATAAAGTAAACCAATACACCAGGCAATTACATTTAGTGTGGTATTGTGTAGTCAATAATCGTGACCATAATTTTGAAGAATATTTAGCAGGGATTCAGAAGATGATGTGAGATAAAACATTGACCCACTCACCTAAAAAGTGACTCCAGGTCAATATTTTGCTGTAAAATGTTAATTTCACTGTAAAATACTCACACCCGGTCCTTATTTTGCTCGAATAAAACCTCGAATAAAACACAGGTCCAAAACTACAGAATATAATTTGGACCATTTGTATAATATGGAACCACGGTTCTCAACCTCAAACCTACCGACCCCCCTGGGGATCGGTTAGCGTCTTTGGTAAATGGTCAGAGTCATCAAGGGGACGGGGGGGGGTCAGTGAAATATATTATTATATTTATGGATTATAGTTATGAATACCAATGACATGGTTTATGCATTTAAATATAAAAACAAAAACAAAAAACTAGTGAGAAAAAAAAATACCCCGGCTCACTGGAAAATATTAAATCCATGAAAAAAGGGGATGTGATGTCGAAAGCAAAAAACTTAAACCAAGGATCCAGTAATCCTTGTCATGACTTTTAAACAAATGGTTTGAAAATTGGTACCAGGAAAAATGTAAGATTCCAAATAAATTGCATTCAAATATTAAAAACGACATCCATACTAACAGAAAAGATATAAATGTGTAAATTATTATTATTATTATTATTATTATTATTATTATTATAGGCCTATTTATTTTTATTATTATTATTATTATATTATAGAATACCCTATGCGCTTAATATAACATTATTATTATTATTATTATTATTATTGTTATTATTATTATTTATTATTATTATTATTATTATTATTATCATTATTATTATTATCATTATTATTAACATTATTATTGTAAATATGTCACTTTTAATTGGAATTTTTAAAATGGCTAGGATTATTACGGTCCTGTGTAAAGGTGGTGATCGAGAAGATGAAGGCCTAGCCAGCTATAGGGCAATTTTGATTCTGCAATTAAAAAACAAGTCGTTTTATCGTATTTTGTTAATAGTTCTTTATAAACGATTTTAAAAATGGTACAGCTCATTTCACTATTTTTTGTTTTTATAAACATTAAGCTGATCTGACCTTGGGACTTGTGAATCTTAGTATTATATAGATCCACTACATCCGAGTTCATCAATTCAGCCGCCAAATGCGTAGTCCACCATCCTGAAAGCATGAGGTCAGCTTTTTACTGTGAATAATTTCACTATTTCTTGTTTTTATAAACATTAAGCTGATCTGATCTTGGGACTTGTGAAACTTATTATTATATAGATCCACTACATCCGAGTTCATCAATTCAACCGCCAAATGCGTAGTCAACCATCCTGAAAGCATGAGGTCAAATAATAATTGCAACATTATTATTATTAAAAAATAATAATAATAATAATGGGATCACAATTTTGAAATGTCTATTTTGCAGTCTTTTGAGTATGTTATCCCCGGCGGAGTAATTTTGGTTCTATTCTCAGCCATTATTCTTGCGACGTCAATCGTGTTGATTGTTTCATCTTGTACTTGCCGCAGATCAAATATGGTAAACACAGTCACAAATCAAACACCACAACCACAACTCATAGACACTCCCTCAAACATAACCACTCTAACCCTGCATAAACTTCCTGTACGGTACTCAATTGTTACATTGGCCTACTGTACTATTTAAAATGTACTCTATGCAACAATAACAACGACGACGACGACAACAACAACAATAATAATAGTATAATGTACGGTAATAATAATAATAATAATAATAATAATAATAATATAGAATCCAACTAACACTAGTAGCAAAGCTCATGCCTTCATCCGTTGTCACGTTCTGATCAGCTGGGCAATCATCTGTCGTCGGCATCTCGTCATCTGTAAACCAATTATAGATTATCAAAGATCAGATAATTGCGCTTATATATTAACGTTTAGGGCGCATTATTGAAAAAAAATAATAATAATAATAATCATTATTATTATTATTTTTATAATAATAATAATATTTATGTAGAAAATAATAATAATAATACTGTAATAATAATAATAATAATAATAATAATAATAATAATAATAATAATAATAATAATAATAATAATATTTACGTAGAAAATCGGAATCCAGTTCGGTTATATGTACACGAATAGACGATTTCTCAAATTTCATTAGCAAAAAAACGAGTATGTTACTTTTTAATGTACTAGGCCTATATTTTATTTTATTTCAACTAAATCGCCTATTAAGAATATCTTAAAATACACATACAAAGTAAAAATATATAATAAAATACAAGATAACATACAATAAATTGTGACAAAGGTTATTACTGGACATAAGTTGATAAGAAAAAAAAACAAACACCACGTATCTTAGAAAAATCGCAAATAAAAACAAGCCACTTTTTTCTGGACTATAATATGTGGTTAACAAATAACATAATAATCACATGAATGGTTTACGGCAGATTTTTTGAACGAGGACTTCAAAAAGTAAAATACTACTATTGTAATAATAGTAATATTAAGTGACTAAAATTCTTTTTATGACAATCCTGGAATTTGTTTTATTGGATAAAATTCAAACGGTAATTGTTTTTTTAAATATTTTTTTCATATTTATCTTTTTCAGGATTCTGCTCCAATATAATGATGTTGGATCTTTGCCAATGATACATTAATCATCAACGTGGACGTACATTATTTTAATTGAAGCTGCCCTCTTTAATTTGAAAAAGTAGCCTCGAAAAGAAGCACATGGACTTTCTTTTTACTTTGCAAATGCAGTAGAAAAAAAGCCCATCTAGAAAGGAAGCCATTTCATAAAGAAGCCCATCCAAAGTTCTAAAAAAAAATAAATAAAAAAAAGAAGAAGAAGAAGAAGCAGAAGCAGCAGCAGCCGCCGCCGCCCAGGGCTTCTTTTCGAGGTTTACGGCGGTATTTTGTATTAATTTTTATTAATTCATATCTTATGATTGTTGATCTTTTAGAATCTACAATCAACTACGTTTCTCAACAATAATAATCATATACTGGGTACAATAATAATAATAATAATAATAATAATAATAGGCTTAGTGGTATTGTACAATATTTTACATTGATACATATTATATTATACATTGATTTCGTTTTAGCTTACCTAGATGTTTACATGCATTCCATTTTAAGAGCATTTGTAAAATATTTAATAGCAATTTGTGAGTTCAAATTCACAATTCATTTGGATACAGTAATGTAAAACAATCAAACGTTAGAAGAGGCCTACAATATCGAATACAGTAAGGCCCATTGATTGTATCGGTAGTATTTTATATGTAATATTTTTAACTTTGTATCCTTACTACGGACTCTAATTTTGTAAAATATTTAATAAAAATGTTTGTATATTCAAATTCAACTGTCGTTTTTAGTATAATGTAAATGTTCTACTTCAGATAGGCCTACTAAAAGAAGCAGAATTATTTTTTTAAACGAAAGTCATCAATTATGAAATGGCAGTGGCAGATTCAAGGGGTTAAACAAAATAATGGACGAGAAAATTCTACTCAAATTCATGTGTGAGTTTGCCATTTCCGGCCATCCAGAGCTGCCATAATTAATATCTTTTAGCCTGTTTTCCACTAGGCGAATTTATTCGCGCGTATCAAAAACATCGGTTCTTGCGCATGCGCATTTACATTTCTCTCAGAGTTTTCGCTTCAGCGAATTCAATAGCTGTTTCTACTTTTTGCGAAGCGAGAAAAATCGTGCAACCAATCAGAAGTCGGTTTTCCACTAGGCGAATTTATTCGCGCGAATCGATTTCGCATTCACATTTCTATCGGAGTTTTCGCTTTAGCGAAATTCGTAGTTCGAAAAGTTTCTACTTTTTGCGAAGCGAAAAAATGCACAGCTAATCAGAGCTCAGGAACCGAACCGACGCCTTCGATTCGCTCCAATAAATTCGCCTAGTAGAAAACCGGAAGAGAGGAAGAGAGGGAGTAAATGCACTTAACGTATACGGTATCCTGCAACGATGTAAACAATGTACCACAACCCTATTTCAACACGTTCCAAAGTCGTCTGATACAGGTAAGTTTATTTTTTTATGTTTAATGAACGGAAACCTATACTTGTTCTATCTGAAAATAAGGCGACCTTCTCAAGGTCGGTATTGACTACAATTTTCAACCATCATTATTTACTGTAAATATGACACTTTCTATTGGAATTGAAGAGAGATAGGATTTTGTCCTGTGTAGGCCTACAACGAGGTAATCGAGAAAAATCATCCAACTATAGGTCAATTTCGATTCTGCAAATAACAAACAAGTCGTTTTATCATATTTTGTTAGCATTTCGTAAAAAAATATTTTTAAAATGGTATAGAGCATTTTGCTATTTCTTTTTTCATAAACATTAAGCTGATCTGACCTTGGAAGTTGTGAAGCTTATATTTTATTAGTCCACCACATCCTTATTCATCATATTAACCACCAAATGCGTGTCAACCATATCCTTAAAGCATGACGTCAGTATGGTCAAGGTATTTGTTATCAAGTCAATAGGCATCTATAGTTTTATTAATTATTCACGCGGTACGGAGGGCGATTATCAAGTAACTGGTGAAATCAAGACATATTGTATACGACAATTTTAACGTTTGTTCGAAACATATTAAACTCACCAAGTCAATAATCAAGTTGGCAGTAGGGGTGTATGTCGCTTGTGTGTTTGTGGGTGTGCGTGCGGCCCCGCCCCCTCCCCCGGTAAAGAAAGAAAAAGAATAAAATGTTAGCCCAGAACGCCTCAAATGTTATTTTCGGGCGTCTAGAGCACAAACAAATTACGCGGGGCATGCCCCCGGCACCCCTATGACAGTGTTGTCTCCATCGGCCCAACTTTTGGTCCCCCTTTCGGCCCCCCCCCCTTTCGGCACCCCTTTTGTACATCTCTGGATCCGCCCCTGAGGGCCTTAATACGTGCTAACGCTAGATTACTGGTTAAAATCTAAAATTTAGTACATTCTCGATGTCTTTAAAATGTGAACCTTTTACGATTGTTCTTTTTTTTTGGGTGGGGGTGCGATTTATTATTTTTTTTGGGAGGGGATGTTGGGGGTGGTGCGTGCCTTCATAAGTTGTCTGGGATCTCCATCTTTAAAGTCCTTCACTGGACCCCTCTAATTCGAATTTATGGGATCATTCTAAAGTAAATGATATGCTCTATGCCATTATAACAAAAAATCATTTTGGCGTGAGGACGAGTTTCCAGCCCGTTTGTAAGCAGTGGCGTGTCACGGGGCACGGGGTGTGAAAGTGTTGGGGGCCATGTAAGTGTCACAACAGTGGCATATTGGACGGTGTTTGAGTGAATCTCCTCTCTACTTTAAAGTATTAAGAATTTTGATTGTCAATATTGTTTAAAATATTGATCGGCGTTTGGACCTCTGCTGGTTAAACCAAACCACTTCATTTATAATGAATCCGGAGTCTAACGTCCTGTGACAACTGCTCATCTCAACATTTTCCCGGGAAGAACCTGAACATTCCTTTTCTCTTTGGGTTCATTGATTCATTATAATAATTTTCAAGAGGGGAAAACCTTGAACTTTGAGGAACTTAAAAGTGATTAAAAGACACCTTAGAAGTCGGGAAAACTCATTTCCCGCCTTCTAGGAATCAAAATTTTCATGGGGGAGAACCCCCGGACCCCCTTTTATTTGGAGCTTATCGATTCATTGAAAAAAAAACGTATGCAGCTACTCATTTTTTTAAATGTGTATACACACATAACAGGCCTATTTTTCTGTAATGAGAAAGTTTACCTTACCGTTTTCAAAAGTTGGAAAACTTTGAATTTTGAAGAGCAAAGTCATTAGACACCTAGCTCAAAAGTCGAGAAAGGTCATTTCGCCATCTAAAAATCAAAATTTTCCCGGGGGAGGAATGTTGACCCCCACCACCTAGGTTTGATTCCAGATCTGCATGATTCATATTCCCATTCATCTTATAAGTGGGCCCCCACCCCCCACTTTCAAAAACGTTCCGCCGGCCCTGATATGTAATGAAATAACGTTAAACACAACGTCTTGGCAACGTTTGGCAACTTCAGCGTAATTAGAATGTAGGTTTTCCTCAAAATCGTTTGTTTCCCCTTTAATGCTGAAAATAGTATAGGAGGGGCGGGCGCTAAAAAGGGTTTTTTTTTTTTTTTTTGTTAGTTTTATTTTTCTCCTTTCACCAAAATTAACATATTAAATCGCAATGCTTGCAAGCCTGTCTCATTATTTGTTTTTCAAAGGGTATTAGTCAGACTGAACAACAATAACCCATAATCAATAGTTTGTAATGAATTTAGGCCTATAGAATGGTGATCGGTACCTTACATCAGACACCAAATTTAGACAACTTTCAAGCCCAAAATGAAGAAAAATAAAGATTACTTTCTTAAATTTGTGAACAAAAAATCGAAAAAATAAGTCTTTTTTTCAGTGAGCTAGGGCAGGCAAACAAACATATTTTTTAGGCCTTTAAACGGTTTTTTTTTTTTCACGACCTTGATCCACCTTGTTCTATATATCAGAAGTAGCGCTGCCTAGTTACTGGCGCCGTTAAATTACATCACTCTAAACTGCGTTCGCTTGCTAATCGATGATTGCCTATGCCAAGGAGGTATTAAGTATTAAATAAGCTGGAGAAACAACGACCATCAACTCCTTTGTACGATGTGAAGCACCGCCGCTCGAGGGCATCATAAAATTCTCGTTAATTTAATTGGATTTAACTGTCTACGTCATGGTCAGTGACGTCACCTGACACC